GTAAAAAAATTAGGGCATGCATGTGGCAAGCACAATCAGTTCGAGAATGAAAAAGACTGGAATATGGAACTTAAGTCAACAAAATGATCCATTTAATCTATTTTGGATCATCTAATCTATCCATCTCCTCCTACACAATCATACATTTCTTCTCGCACAACATCTGAGAGGCTCTATCTTCCACAGGATTTTTCAGGGCTCTGTAGCTTGGCCTTCCAAGTTACCCCCCAGCCCTAATTTGGTGTGTGCATAAATAGATGGTTTTGTATTTGTTCGTTCTATCACTGTATTCAGACCCATAAAATGGACTGAGAAGGATGTAAACCACACGAGCCTAGGAAAGTTCCTGCCATGTTGTTACATCCATCGTTGCCTCATCTTTCCATGCAAGGAGCTGTGAGTTCAAACCCTGAGGACTGCCGTGGAGGATGCCATGGAGGCCCCGTGCCTCTGAACTGGCCTTGGAGCACCAGTATTCCCCACAGCTCACCCATTTCTTCCAGCGGAGCCATGGTGCCAGGCTCTCCCCCTGGCCATGGCTGTGCCCATGATTCTGCGTATGAACCTTTCAAAGGTTTCCTTCAGCAAGGAAGGAAGGATGCTTCCAGCAATAAATGCATTGCCCAAGTAGACATCTAGCTAAAACTCGTCATGTGGCTGATAGATTGGGGATTGAGCCAGGGCCTTCATAAAAGAGTGAGTTGTCCATACTTGCACTAAGAAGCTCTTTAGCTGGGGCTATAACAAAAATTTTCTGTGGCTCAGGCACATAAGAGGCCTGTGAGACACACATCAGCAGGTGACACTTGTTGTTTCCAGGGAAGTCTACACACGAGTGGTTTGGATGCAGGTATCCTAAAGCTCATACAGCCCAAACCTGTTATTTGCTTCTTTACAGTCAGTAGACAATCACAGTTGACAACAAAGTCCCGCATCTCGCCTACAGGGCCACTTAGCCTTTTTCTTTAATACATCGGCACCGAGGAAGAAAGTTCTGCAAGTTGGGCACATCATTCCTGGTCAAACTAAAACTTCACTGTAGCATGAAATGTGAAGTGGCACTGCAGATACAAGTACGAGCTATTACTATGGACCTTAGAGTAACCCTTAGTGCACCTTAGAGGGGTGTTTTCTCCACATATTTTTCAGCATCTTCCAGGAATATTTTGCATTGCTTGTCTTTTGTTCCCCATTTGGAATCGTTGTCAATGAGTCGGCAACAGCACTTCTGGGCATGTAAAAACCTACTTCTCGAAGTCATGAAAAAGCTTGGATAATGGGTCTTTTCAGGTGAGGCTAATACAGGGAGCGTTCTGGCCTCGATCAAAATATTGTGGAAAAGAGTTCGGAGAGGCAAACTACTTCCATCATCTGCATTCTCAGAGCATGAGCTCAGCTCAGAGAATAATGCAATCAGAGGAATCTGAATAACTTTGTTTTCTAAAGTAAGTTCGACTCTGCTGACACTTTGTCTGGGTGCAGCAGAAAAGGAAGCCCGAAGCTTGCAAGATCAGCATAGTCAATGATCAAAGAAGTGTAAATCCAACCTAGGCCAACCCATTTCTTGCAAAATTCTCCTCTTGCATCTGCAAAGTGGATTTTGACTCCATTATTCATCTTGTTTAGGAATCCCATGCAATGGGAAGAAGAGACTTGTACTCTATATTTTTAAAACTTCAGTGTCTTTGAAAGGTCTACTTTCCAAAATCAGACATGGGCTCACGGCAAAATGGAAAAAAAGACCAGGATATAGGCCAGACAGAGTTGAGTCACAATACTAAAATCCAGATCTGAGTTTCAAAAATCCCTCTAGGTCTGGGAGGTGGTCAGATCACGGGGATTGGTTTGAACATCTCACCTCTCATCGTCAATGTATTGTAAAACCCTTGGTAAGGAAATGAGCTTGATCATGTATGTGGGGACACATTAGATCTCCACATATTCATTTGCAAAGCCTCGTGTTTTTTATTTTATGATGTTAGGAAAGAAAATAAGTGAAGGAATATACATTTTCTATGAGTCTGGTATGCATGACTCACTCTGCAACAGCAGGAGCTATCTTGAGCTAATTCCCTGAGAATAGTCCTATAGACAGGTTAGTGATGTCCACTTATTAGTCTTCCGCCTTACATTTACTTAGCTACGTTCTCCAGATGGGAAGGTATTTCAGTGCTTTGGTATCCAGCTGGAACCAAGATGTACAGAAGCTTCAAAAAATACAAACTATCTGGGAAGAGCAGATGAGCAAAATCTTTTGAACCTCAAAAATAGTTCCATTTTTATTTTGGAGGAGGATTTTTTTTTTTACTTCATCTGAATGGGTGTTTCTGGCCATCCCTCAGCAGAACTATGATGACATATAGGCTGAGATTTTCATATAGTCTGAGATTTTCAGAGCCATAGAGGGCACAGTCACAAAAGGGTTCATAAAGTGATAAGAGGTCACAATCACTGTGCTCTTCCTGTATAGTTATATGGATGGGGTGTACGCCTAGATTTCCTGCAAGGAGCAAGGGTTCCTAGTATGTGAGAGTTTGACCATCTACATTCGATTCTCATGGAGAATCCCATTTTAATGGGAACCGGGTACCCAGATCTCTTACAGCTTTGCAAATATCATCTAGAAAGCACACGATGGAGTTTTAAATTTCTGCACCCCCCTGGCAAATCCTGGTTTTCTTCCTTGAGGGTGGTTGTGCTGTTTATAACCTCCAGCATGGCTTTGCAGAAAATCACATCGCTGCAGAAGGCTGCAGTACTACAACAGGCAGATGCTATGTATGCAATTGGGGGACAGCCAGAGAGATAATTTTCCGTTAGTTTCCCAAAGAAAGATAAGTTTGAAATGCTAAACACACAAATGACTAGCTTCTATGTATGTGTTCACAAGGGGTTCAAATTAAACTCCAAATTGCATGACCCTGATCTGTACCGATTAGAAGCTGACTTAGATTGCAATTAAGTCAGGCTATAAGTCAAGAGCTCCGATAACGATTATCATTTCTCTATTTGGAAGACCCGATTGGCAAAAAAGAAAATATGTATGAATCTGTGCATAAGCAGTAGTAAATTGTCATTAAACAGTTCCATCCCTATTGCATGAATTGAGATAATATGAGATATTTGTAATTAGCAACAGGATTTATTAAAGCTCCGCTCTCGTGGATTGGTGCTGTCTCACAATCAAATACAGTTTGGGATTTTGTAGCAGACCAGTTTTTAATCACTGGAGTCCTTCATTTTTAGTAAATCCAGCCCTAATTTTTGTTATCCCCTGGTGGGCTTTACTTGAAAAAGTTTAATTTGGTTGAGATTCCCTTAAAATCATCTCTGCTTAATGCTTTCCAGATTTCTGAAGCCTGCCTGCCCATCTTTGTACAAAATACACAAGTTGTAATCATCAGCTATATCCAGGTCTTGCATTAAATATCAGTTTTATGCTTTGGGATTTTTGGTGTGTTTTTTAGAAGCAGGTGCCAGTCTGGGACTGATAGAAAGGAAGAAATGGCAGAAAAATAAAGTTTGTAATTGGAGAGTAGGAGGTAAATTATAGAGATGATTTAGAGATTCTGAATGCAGAATGGACGATACGAATGCTCAGAAATGAACTGCTCCTAGACTATTAGGAGTTGAAGGTCACACCATAAGTCATAGGAAAGGTAATTTTCTCTAGATTTGAAATAGGATCTCAGATCTGACCTACGACCTCAATGTCAAGAACATCTGGGCATTCATAATACATCAATTCCTTTGACTTTTATTTTTCTTTTTTCTTTGCTCCTAATATGATAGAATGGAGTCCAAGAAAGAGCAGGACTTCCTCATTCTGAGCATTGCCCATGACTTAACTGTGACCCTAGACGAGTGATTAATACCCCTTTTTTTGTCTCCATTTCCCAGTAGGATGGGTATGGGTACAGTGGTGCTTAGTGTGTTCACCTTCGGGTTTCAATATTTAATTAATGCTTTGTGGTCCTCGTATGAAATATATTGCATGCCACACATTTCAAATGTTTCTGCTGGTTTCAAAGTTTATATCAGGAGAGTTTTCTTAAAAAATAGGGTATATTTTTCAAATGCAGAAAAAATTAAATATAACCTTTGAGAGTTTATAATAATAGTCCAACTTTCTTTCATAACATTCAGCTTTTTGGTCATGAAAACTAAAATGTTCTTTTAAAACTGCAGTCCCTCTTGAGTTCAGCTGGAGACACACATGGTCATCCCCTTTGAACATCAGGCCCTATCACTCCAAAGTCAGGTCCCTCGGAAAAGAGGCACCCCCAGGTTAGAAAACATGGGCTTTCCTGCACCTCTGTTTCCCTCATCTCTCAAATGAAAATACAGGAGCTGAATGGGGAAAAAAAGGCATAAAAAAATGGTATTCTTTCAAGAATACCTCTTTAATGCAAGACCCTAAAGGGAAGTTCCATAAGGACAGTGCAATGCTAAGACTTCACCCCAAATTGTCACTTGAGATGCCAGAATGAGACAACATACACTTCTAGTAGGTTTTGGTGACACGTATTTAGTGTGTGGTTTTACACATTAAATGTGGTGATGTATTTAATGTGTGCATGCCCTTTTCGCACTTATGAGGGCTTCTGTGTTTTAATGAAAATTGAGATCCCGTGGCACAAGATGGCAGCTCCAGGCAGCTCTGTATACTGTCCTGCTAACCCCCCTCTCCCCCAGTTCAAGCCCTGCTTTACCTGGTGCTCTGTACTTTGCTGGGAGGACAAGGTTGCGGGGCATCATTAAATAGCATTTACAAAGGGCTTTGAAGACGTCAGATGGAAGATGCTGTGGAAATAGAAAGTGATTTTAAAATCCCACTCTAACCATAGAGTCTATTAACTGGTGACATCTGAGATCCTCTACAGGAATGAGGATGGAGAGAGAAGTGGCACCAGTGGCTTACTCCAGCAGATGGCTGGGAGAGGGGAACAAATCCCAGCTCACAGAAATAATGCAGGGATGACTTTGTGTTTTATTTTCAGATGTGTTGGAGTATGCCCCAGGGAAAGGAGAGCAATGGTAAACACGTCCCAGTGGCTCTAGAAAGAAGGCAGGCACCCTTGGATCCAAGCAGAACAGGTGTTGAACCTTGGCACGATACGGTGAGTGATATCTCATTTCTGTATCTTGCTTGGGTGGACTGTACTTTGAAGGGTGCTGTTTCTTTTGCTTTGCTCCTGATGAAGCCCCTATAGGCCGGTGGTATTAGAAGAACATAAAAACAGGGCCCTATGGGCTCAGACCATGGGTCCATGTAATCCAGTCTCCTATTTCCCACCGTGGTGTGAACTGGATTCCTTTGGGGAAGAGTATTAGAAACGGAGCATGCGTAGAGTGATCATGCGCTCCCAGTCATAGGTTTATGGCCTGTCTGCACACTGCAAATGAAAAAGGCTGACCTGGGGTTAAGTCCCCAGTTTCCCCATGTAGCTGCTGAACTGGGGCACATGTCCAACGTGGGACTTTTAGCATGAGCCATGCATTCCTCTGGAAGAGCTTTTCTCTGTATCACTGACACACAGGTAAGATAAAAGGAAACGTAAGCCCCATGTACAACATGCATTGCCCTGATTCCAGCCGTGACTTGCCAGCACGCAGTGTACGTGGGGCAGACTTCCAATAAAGCACCGTTTGCATTGGTGCGGTGTACCCCAGTTTTGAGAAACACTTTGCATCTCTGCCAGGGGGTTGCCCTGGAGCATCTCCATTGTGAATGGACCCAAGGGTAAGTCCTCACTGAAAACAAGGCCACAAATAATCAGATGTCTCATTTCTGCCTTTAATCAGACTTGGTCAGATCCCATCTAGAGAGTGGCAAGCCTGGAGAAATATGTAAGAGGAAGGCTCCCCAGGGAGTATGATCTTTAGCCTGATTCTCCCTCATCCTCATGACAGTTATCGGGTTTGTTTCCGTAGAGCAAAGAGGGATTCTGCCATTCAGTTGTTTATATTTGTCTTTCCCTTATCCATGGGTCCGGGCCAATCAGTGAGACTGTCTGGGTGCTTGTCTGAAAAAGGATAAAAGGATGTCAGTCTTCTTCCCTTCCCTATAAACACCACCCCTCAATAGCATTCCTCATTTCTAGTAATCCCAGTGGTTATGGGGAAGGCAGGAGAGCTGTTAGGAGCTCCATCACGAGCCTTCTCAGACGCCCCCATGGGCGTAGGGCAACTTTCCCTCCCTGCTCAGGGTGCCCACATCGCCCATCTGGGCAGCAAGAGAAGGGCAAGGTAGGCAGGGAGAACTTTAAAAACAAAGTAATCCTGTAAATAGTTCCTCAAGCAGGTTGAGACGCACTGTTGAGGATACCGTTAACTCCCCGCAGTCTCGGAAAGACGGGGGAGAGAAGCTTATTTCCATATCTTAATTAAAATTTCCATTAATCCCATCTGAGGCCTCATAACTTCAAAAACTTGGACAAAAAAATAACACTTATTTCTGATAAATATTTTAGACTAATTGTTCCAAGGTGGCTGACATCTCTTGTTGGTGAATATCAAGTAGCCTTGGATCCGGTGTGCTAGTTAAGGGGGAACTGCAATGGGGTTTTGTTTGCTCTCGGAAAATCACTGACTACCTTAAACAGCCGGGGTACGAGGAGCACTCGGTAAATCCAGCGAGCTGAGCTGGGCAATCTGCATCACACTGGTGCTTACTTACACAAGTAGCCCCACTGATTATCCACAAATGAGTTTTTGCATTTTTAACGGTTGTAGCCGTGTTGGTCTACGGACCTAGGCAGACAGGGGTCCTTGGGTAAATCTGATATGTTTTGTTATTGAGTTGGTCTAATAAAATATATCAGATTTACCCAAAGAAACTTTTCTGCATTTTTAGACATTTTTTTTTAGGATTCACAAAATCATTCAGACCCACTCCAAGTCACTGGAGATCTCAGGAGTGCATCATTCTGTAGTGTCACCTGCCAGGGACACTTTGAACCATAAAGAGAGTCAATAGGAGCTCACGCCGATGTTTTAAATATTTTATGTGGTCTCTAATTTTAAAATGGATACGCACTCCTGGAGTTTTACAAGTGCTGGTATAAACTGGAGTAGGATAAATGACTTTAAAACTTTGTCCCTTATTCCCAAAATTCCCCAACCAGTCAGCTCCTACTCTGCTCCTTAGGTGAAAGGCTTGTGACAAACTAAAGACTAACAAGCGGAGATCAGTAGGGAACGCTTTCCACTACGTTTCTGCTCCACAACATGTAGACCTTTTAAATGACTTTTATTTCAGGATCAGAAGGAAAATACAAAAAATATTTAAAAAAATGTCTTGGAACAAGAAAATGCCAAAAGTTGGAACTGCAGAAACAGAATTTTGCATTTTTTGTTCAAAACAAAATTCAATGTTGTTAAAATGCTTCTTTGATTTTCCAGAAATGAAAAGCTTTTTCAAAATGTAGTTTTCCAAAAAAACCATACTTTATTGCCCAACACTAACATTTCAAAGTGGCAAAGCAGGTCTTGGCTTGTGTCCATAAGCATGGAAGTAGCTCCCATGAAGCTAGAGCCACTTCTCCTGTGATACACGGCTACAGCTGAGCTGTGATCCTCAGGGAATGGCCCTGGAGCCTCCTAGGATGGCTGGTCTGGGGTTCCCATGTTTTCCAGGGGGAAAAAAATGTAAATGCTACGTTGTTCCCTTGCAGCAACTTGGACTCGTGAATCTTAATTTCCTCAAAGGCATCTTTGAACAAACCAAGGAAACAAAAGCAATGACTGTGGATTACACATGCATGATATTTTTGCCTTCAATTTATAACAATCTCAGAGTCTTCCTCCCTGGTGCTTACCCCTTCGATATTTATGGAGGATGTATTTGATGTCTTCCTTCACATCTGATTCCTTTGCACTTAAGCAGCGCAAAATCCCAGATACATGCATGAAATATTGCACCTAGAAGTTAATTTTGTTGGCCCAGAGCAATTCCTAGGTGATGCAAAGCTATCACGGATGGCTTTAATATGCACCTACTTGTTGCCCCACTGCTTTGCACCCAGGTGACAGGGTGGAGAGATCTCCACTTCAGAGATCCTCTGCCAGCAGAGTGGTTTCATAGGGAGTGCTGTGCCAAAGGTGAAATAGGCTCCTGGTCAGCTCCAGGATCAGGACTGCAAAGGGTGGCTTAAAGCCATATGCCATGAATATGGATATATGACCAACCTAGTGCAGGGTGACTGCCATCCCTGCTGTCACGAGGATCTGGGGAGCAGAGCGGACACCTGTGCACCGACGGAGATCCGGCCTTCCCCTCCTGCTCATCGATGCACTATGTTCCTGCTGGGTCCAACTCTGCCACTGGGAAAATCAAACTTCCCATTGATATGCATGGGATTAAGATTAGTCCCCACGATTTATTTTGCTAATGACATATTTGCTAAGGACCTTGAAGAAGGCAGCTGAGAGTGTTGGAGGAGAAAGCAGCCCCCGTTTTGCACGGCACAGCGTTCAGAAAGTTCACGCGGGGAGAGGCGCTTCGCACCCAGCCCAGGCTGTGAAACACGCTGAAAATTAACATCTTTCCTTTCAGATCTGCATTGCTGATGGCTGTGTTGTGGCTCCAGAGTCGCACCGTATGTCACGCTGGGGTTTTAGATAATTGTTTCAGTATGAAACAGCTCCTGTCTCTTAGGACAGTTACGGTCATGTGCTATGTTCTTCAGCATGGGAACTTTCTTTTTTAAAAAAGCATTTGTACAGCACCGAGTACAGTGGGCCTCATCACTGACCTCCACTGAAATACATGTAGCATTAACAATGATCCGTGATGATAAAGGGATGGCTGATTTAAGGGGTTCGGATGCGGCTGCTGAGATCTTAAGTTCTACGGGTCAAAGCCCTAGCTGATATAAATCACTTTATTTCCAGGAGTTTGCATTGATTTGAGTTTAGAATCAGTCTCCATAAATTTAGGAAAAGGCAACGCCAGCAGCAAAGTCTGAAATGCCAATTTTATCCTTAAAACATTGATTTTAAGGGGCAGTGAGGAGAGGAACAGACAAGTCGGAGCAGAACCGGGGGGAGAAACTGAGCTGCTTTTGTGCTTCTCTGGCAGTTTTTAAGGCTCCCAACTGTCCTATTTGCAAGGTGCAAGCTTTGCAGTGAGAAAGTGTTTTCAAAAGATGCCAGAAGGCAAAGCCCATGGTTCACATTCCTATTTCTCCCCACAGTCCATGAATGGGTGTAGACTAGGATTAGCAAACTTTTGTTCAGTGGCTCTAGATCCCTGGTAGGCTTATATTTTAGCAAGCAACTGTTTTATTTGTACTGTTTCCCCCCTCTACGTTATGTAAGTATGACATTTCCCCCTAATATTTAATATAATCTCTTAGATCTCATCACCGCAAAGTTTAGAGAGCAAATTAAAACACCGTCCAGTTCGCTGTAAATACAGTCAGTTTATTCAAGGAAAGCAGAGTCCTTACTGTTCAAACCCGATTGAGTCATAAGCAAGTCAGGTTCACCTTTTGGTTCAGCGTTGCTCGGATTAATTATCCCCAAGTGAAAAGGGGGTCCTCTCCAAGATTCGAGGGCTATTTGGGCCAAAGGGGTGCAGTTATGCCAATGAGAATTGGACCCAGGTAGGTGTGTAGAGACTGGGTGGTGCAGAGGAAGGAGACAGAAAACACAGTTGTTCATTTGGAGCCAGATCTCATACTTCCTCTGCAGGCTCAGGTCCCTGGTGAGCGGAAGAACAGGAACCGTAAAAACCCACTAACGCTCAGCTGGCTGTCGGCACATGCAAAATTGAAGGGAAAGTATTTATTTCCCGACTTCGCACTTATTATGCAAGGGGCGATCAGGAGGAAGAGCAGCAATAATTAAACTGTGATGTTGAGCCCTGGTGCCCCCAAGGTAAAATCCTCTAAATGAACTGAACGTTGAAAACGGCAAACTGCAAGGGACTTTGTCGCAGGATCTCCGTGGTCATAGATCACCTTTGACTGACAGAAAATTGGACGCAGGTCGTGGGAAGGGACAAAAAAAAGCGTTGCATTGGGGGAGAGGGAAAGCAGCAGCTCCTGAAGTGAGCCTAAAATCTGCCTGGTTGCTAGGAAAGTAGCACTCCTTTGCTCCTGATAAGTAATTTCAATTTGTACCTATATTTATAACAGTATGAAGATCCATTTTATAATCTCTGTAATAAAGAACCTCATCAGCAACTTCTCAAAGAAACTTGTTATTACGGAGAATGACACTCTAATTGCCTCCAGACATTTAGCTTGTCTAGTGAGTGAAGTAACCTGATAAGCTATTGAGCTATTAAGTGATGTAGAATCAATTAATGTAGTGAGATAAGAAAGTAATACCCTACCTAGGTAAACTAAGTAGTTTGTGTCAAACTAGTCACTATTAATTCAGGTCCAGAAAAACATGGTAGACCAGTTTAATTTACAGTAACATGGGGACCATATGGAACTCAGTGGGGTATATTTTTACAAAGGAAAATTAGCTTTGCAAGGAACATTTTCTCAAACACTTTTGGATCCAACCAATGTTAACCTACTTGCAGTTTTGGAGTTTTGGTCAGAAATATTTTCCAAACAAAACACAAATACCACGTAACTCCACTGCACAACTATTTAAAAACCCAGGCCTTGAATTTTACACCAATGAGGCACAAAAAGGTGCAGGGTGTTTAGTTTACATGTGAACTTGTGTTCATAGGCCTGCCTAATTACCTTTTTGCACACACGGCCGTGCAGCCGGCTCTCTCAGTGGTAGTACATTTTGTGCACCTGAGTGTTGATTTCCAATATCTTTTTCTCTCCAGCCAACAGAGGCAGCTCATGAGACCTGGCGAATGCTGCACTGCTACCTAACGTAGTGAAAACAAGAGCAATTGGACATCTAATCTGCTTAGGTGCTTTTGAAAATCCCACTACGTGCCAAAGATACGCTTGGAAATCTGGGCCCAAATCCATTAGCTGGGAGTCAGGCCAGAGCCCTCTTGCGAGAGCTATTCAGTACCACACTTCATGTCGAATACACAAGAGGTGTTGGACCAAAGACACATTACTGTCATTATTACAAATAACACCAGGCCCACAAGATGCCCTTCTCCCCTTTGGTGAGACCTGGCCCATCTTGATTTTCTTTCTGTTCAGAAAGACCTTCTACAAAGAACTTGGCCATCGCATAAGGGCCTTTTGATGGGAATAAAGGGAATGACCCATCAGTTTTGTCAGGGTCAGAAAAAAATAGCAGAACCCAAGAAAGAAAACAGCCAGAGGTTCTGGTTGTCTGGCAGAGCTGTGCAGATGTGGGGCTGCAGTTGTTTCTAGTCTGCTTTAAATAAGAATAGCTTGCAGCCATCCGCGCCGATTTGCTTAATGCGCTCTTTGGAATTCACAATGTAAATTGAATTGTGAGCTCCTCTGCCTTTGCATGGGAACATTTGGACTCTAATATTACCGGCAGAACAAGTTCCCCTAAATGAATTGTTCTCACAAATGATACCGATGCTTTGCACTCCTACTCAGTTGATGCCATTGCGGCTACCAGCAAGAAGGTGCTGCTTCAGAGTGAAGGGGCTGAGATGGGATGGGAGAAGAGGGAGCAGGAGACCAAGAAGAAAAGACCCATTTTTCTAGGGAAATGTTGTGTGGTTTGGAAAACACCTTTTGCTGCTTTCCATTACGTCTCTCTGTGTGGTTGCACCAAGGATGGGATCAAAGGAGCTTTAAACCACCTTTGTGCTATGTGGCTGCTGCTACATAAGACAGTAGCTCGTTACTAGTGTGCAGCAGTAATGAGGTACTGCTCAGTCACCGTTACCTGGAAGCCTTGCAGGGATGCTACTACGCAGTAATGCCAGTTACTGCACAGTCATTTAGTTATGCAAGTACTAAATGTATGACAGTTGTTACTGCGCAGTCAGTGTCTCGTGTAGATGTGGCCTCTGTATTTTGAAATCTGTACAGGAGCCTGATCCGTCCATAGGGTACTTAAATCAGCCTGAGGTTTATTCTAACTTAGACTTTACCTCTCAGAGTGGATGCTGTAGATGCTGAGAATCAGAGCGCGGGTCTATGAGAAGGCTCACCCCATCTCCACCATGCTTCCTGCAGCTGTGCCATTACTGGTACCTGAGCCAGCTGTTTTTAATGCCACGCTTGGCTTGCAGGCTAGACTTCCCCAAAGTGGGTCTCCGTGTTACTGAAGGTATCGGCAAGCAAACAAAAGTTACAGCAAGGTTCCTGGGAGCAGAGGCTTAGCGTGCACATCAGCTGTGCCCCAGTAACTGCCTGGTACATGTGTACAAGCGCCGTGTGTGCCCATCCTGGCCCTGCAGTGAGTGGAAGTGAAATCACAGGAGTTTCTCCCTGTTGCACTGAGGGCTGAATTCTCTCTGCGGCCTGGCACAACATGGGTAGCTACCAGGGAACAGCTCACACGTGATAAGTCCCTGCCTCCTTTTAACTCCTTATGGTTGGTTCATTTGTCCGTGCCCTGAGCATCCAATTCTCAAGGCTCACCAAATCATTTGTCCATGTGATTACCACGTACCAGATGCATATTTTAGAGTCTTTTCTGGAGTTTCTTGTTTCTATACATATAGAGTCTCCAACAGGGACTTTTAACTTAACTTAGGCAGTCTCACTTTACAATGATTGTTGGACAGGTCAGTACAGACTATCATTGGAGTGATTAGTAGGTAATTTTACAATCATGCCATGTTTGTACAGGTCATATATTTTTAATATGAGTTTTTACAATAAAAGGATCTATCAGTTTAGTCAGCAAAGCATCCAGGAGCCATGCAAAAATATGCTTCAGCAAATCATTTGCATTCTGGCCCAACAAGCTTTCTGATGGGACAAGAAGAAGATTTGCCTACTGAATGATTTTTAATTGTTTGTGAATTCTGATGAAATGTTTAGATATCCCCTCAGTCCTTACAATTAATAGTAAATAATTATAATAAAAAAACCTCTCCTCTGTGTCACATGCACATCCATACACACATGCACAGGTTTGCAGAACCACACTTTCTTTTGTTCCCTTTGTTCTCTTTGTTCACTGTGCAGTAATGAAAAATGACAGCCATATTTATTGTACCGTTCCTCCAGGAATGCAGAGATAATTACCTCCCCTTAGCACGGAGAGGGGAACCAGCCAGAGCTGAGTCTCTTTCCAGCGTTCCCAAATTGAAGCTGGAAGTTTGCAGGAAATGCAAATGGTAGGCCTTGCAGGAGTAGTTAAGGGACAGCAGAATAAGTGCAGTGTCTTTGCGAGGTGGTTTCCCAGGGCTTGTCAGAAAATAAAAGCCAAATGGATCTCCTAGGCTTGCATCGTAAAGGGGACCACTTTATATTCCACCAGTGTCCTGTGTCTGCTGACGTGACAGAGTTCCTGACCTGGTGCCAGGTCTTGTTCCCTTGAACACTGCAAATACTTGCATTGCTTAGGCTGCTTGCTGCTTTACAGCCTGTGCCGAGGAAAGAATGGACAACCCCTTGCAAGCTACTTCTTGCAAGACTGTGCACCTGGTCAGCTACTCTATACCGCAAGTAGGACGGATGGGGCCACAGCTCTTCAGTCTACCCCTGTTTTCTCACCGGCAGGGAAGTATTAGACAATCTCCCTACACTGAAGTTCAGTTCATGGAGACTTCCCGCACATGGCCATAGAGGAGCCATGACAAGATCCTAACTAAGGCCAGTTCATGTAAGTGAGGTGCCTCAACATCTATTTTTAACAACTAATTTCCAACGTATCTTTTTATCTAAAGGTAATTTAAAAAAAAAACCAAAAACCTGTTTAGCCCTTAATAAGAAAAATCATTTCATGTTTCAATATTTTTCTCCCCTGGATTTATTTCTTCAATTAGGGATTTTTTTTGAGGTATTAAAATATAATCCAGCGAATTTAATCATGTTTCCTGTAGCACCTTGTGTCTTCAAAGCATTTTACAAGCTTCAGTGCATTCATGTGCAGCACACACCTGCAAGGGAGGCTAACTGGTCATTTATATCTCCAGGTTACAGAATGAGAAATAATAAAAAAGGGGGTGGGGGGTGCCAGGATATTAGAGCTTCCCACTGTGGAATGAAAAGAAACACAATTGTGGCCACATCCCTTCAAAACATTGCTATCCTGACCACACCAACTTTATGCTGGGACAGAAGTAGGAGTGAACAATTAAGGTAAGGCCTGGCTAGTTGGGGGGTTTTCAAAGGAAGCTAAAAGATTTAGCATCTATTTGCCAAAAAAAGGTGGTAGGGTTTGCATTCAGCTGCAGGACACCGACAGTTGTGCATTGGATGGTGTGCTCTCACTGTGCCCACCTAGCAGCTGCCTTATGAGTCAGTATGGCATGCTTCAAGGCCTCTGTGCCTTAAGGGATTTTTCCCACAGTATGTTATCTGATATATGGTGAAAACCAGCTGGAATCAATAGGGACTTGGGCTGACATTCACAAATTCCCGGATTCTTTCCCTGTGATCCACCTCTTTTTGGGTGCCAGCCGGTATCTCACCTGCAGCCCCAGCAGGAGCACAATAAGGAGAAGGAGATCGTGGACCTCCTGCTTCTGGAGGCTGTTTCTTTGCATCAACTTCATTGATGCTGCACCATTTCTGAGCCCATGAAACATGGATCAGTCTTTGGGAAAAGTTTGTGCTGCATGCCTGGGGTGACCAAGGATAGCTGTAGTATTTCAACAGGCGCCTTTCTAGAGATTTGTATGGAGTTTTCCCAGAGCTGTTCGCCAATGTTGCAAATGAGTCGGAGTAATTCAAAGTGCCTTGACTGTGTGTGTGTGTGTGGGGTGTGTGAATCTTTTTCTTCCATCGTTATCTCTGACACCAGCTTGGTATGGGCAACTGGAGTGTTATCGGTGTTGTGATGGAGGTGTGTGCTCCCGATAAGGTGCTGCCTCCATGTAATCTAAAACTTCCTTGCATACAAGGGGTTCGTGAAAGGCATGGGGGCAATCAGTGACCTTCATATTCCTATTCATTTTCCCCACACTAGACCTCAGAAGTCATAAACTGAATAGGACACATCTCTACTGTGCTCCAAGTCTTATCAATCAGCATAGCCCATTCAGCTCGGTTAATGAGGAGAGAGGTTGGAAAAGGTTCGCGATGGCAGGATGGTTAGGAAATCACATCACTTTTATTTAATGAACGTGGTATGCTTTCACCCATTTCTTCTGCTAGGGATGTTAATGGTATTGACAGGTGCACTATCATTTTGGGTGACCCAGTTTATCCTCCGTTTCCCTGGCTAACAAAGTCTTTTATCGGACACTCGGATTTCATAAAGGAAACATTTATCACCTAAGCAGCTGCAGGATGACAGGGGAGAGTGCCTGTGGGATCCTGAAGGGAATATCGTGCCATGAGAAGGCTAGAGCCCCTTGCCAACCTACGACAACTGCATCTTCTATATTGCACAGTATCTATGCATGATGCCCACTGAATTTGAGCACCTGCTTTCCTTTGGAAAATCCCAGCTTCGGTTTTGTATGCCCACAGGGTAAAGAACCGCCTCCTTTTCTTAATGTCCATCTGCAGGCTCCCAACATCTCTGGCTGAATTGAATAGTAGAAACTACCTGCTCGTTCTCTCCCTAAAACAGTGAGAAGGAGGTGTGAGGAATGGGCAGAACTGGATCTCCCTTCTACCCGGTGACCAAAATAGCAAAACTACTGTAGAGAGGAGATGAGGGTAACAAGTAACAGCTGGTATCAGAGAGCAGTACATTTTCTCCTTGGCAAGCAAGCAGAAACCAGGAAAAGAATGATGGTGCAAGGGCAGGTCTTAAACTGGAAGTGCTCTGATAGAAAAAAGAAGGGGTGGCTATCACAGCTTCCTCTGAAAAATGGTCATCAGTTCTATAATTTACTTTGTTCCTCTCTTGTTCTGTCCTAGTCCAGAGAGGTTAATTGGAGCATGTTGCAAAACCTAGCATAGCTCACATGTATTTAGGAAGGCAAAGGGTTCAGGGGGGGTGAGAGGGGGGGGGGGGGGGGGGGGTCTCTTGTTGTTGGGCACATAGTAAGCTTCATTTTGCCAGAAAGCCAGTTTATTGGAGAATTACGCAACTGATGCAACTGAGAAGTATGCAACTGATGCAAATGCTAAACTTTTTCAAAGTGCCCCATCAACT